TATAGCATACCTTTCCCATCCAGTAACCAGGATGGTCTTCTTAAGGACCAGAATCTGTGAAATATCCACGGCTCCATCTTGCCCAACATTTAGTGTGTGGTGACAATATCCATTGAAGTCCCAAATCTTTAAGAAAAAAAAGTTCAATTGCCTTTGAAACAAAATTTTTAATGAACAAAACACTGTCTAGTGAGATCATTTTAAACCTTTGTGCTTACATTCTGAGCTAAATTTAATTCACTTGGATATGTAATGATTAAAGAAATTCCTCTTACTATTTAAATTTAACCATTATATATATTACCTTGCTTGGAAATCTATCAGTGAATAAAACTAGTAATTGAGTCAAAGGTTATAAATAAGTGCATAATTCTAAAATAGGATGCAATTGAAAAATCATAAAAAGAGCAACATTTTGGAATCTGTTGAAATTTAGTTCTTTTTCTCATTATTTGCCACTAAATTACTTACTTAATCTCTAAGAATTTCCAGTTCTTCATTTGTGACACGGGAGCCTAACCTCTCAGGGATAATTAGACCTGAAGCCTAGTCTTCAATACTATGTTTCCTAACTTCTCCCTATAAAACCTCCTGGGGCTAGTAGATGTTGGACCCAGGACTATGGAAGACACAAGCAGTTTTAGTTTACCTTCTCAGGCAGTGGGGTGAGTGTTTCCTAAGTCTGATGGGTCTACTTTAAGAGAAGAATTATTAGATTTCTAATATTTAAAACTAAATTATACTATATTAAACATTGTTGGTACATGGTGCATGAAAGACACATTGGAATTATATATCAAATTAATAATGTATATAGACTTTGATTCAAAAATTAAACTTCTGGAAAATCACCCCCAGATACCATTAGCCATGTGACATAACATCTATTCAAAGATATTCTTACAGCATTGTTTATAAAGTCTAAAGGTTTGAATCAACCCTGAATAGTTAAAAGGAGTACAGGTGTGGAGCTGCAGGATAATGCACTGGACCACAAGTTCGGTTTGAACTACAAGTTCGGCAGTTATAACCCACCAGTCCACTTCTAGGAAATCATCGCTATGAGTCTGAACAACAAGTCACTAAGAAAGGACTGAACAACATTTTGGAGTATCTGTAAAGTAGAACACAGTGCAGTCATTAAGAAGGATGAGTCACACTGATGTTTCTAGTTTCTGTCAAAAGTCAAGCATATATGACAATTTGAGAAAGTTGTTTATTGTTGCTGTTGTTAAGAAAATAGACCTCTGTGAAAAAACAAATAATGATTTTTCTGAATTAATTTAATTTACAAATGTATATGCATGTGTGTAAAGTGCTTAGAAAATTTCCTGGTTCATAGTAAGCATGCAATAAAAAGTAGCTAGCATTATCCTTGTTGTTGTTAGTATTAATATCTGTAATACTAATACAAATCAAAGTCCAAGACAGAAAGATCCAAGGTAAAAAGATGCAAAATACAAAACAGCTGCCTTTAAGAAACAAATGATTCTCAAAGGTATCTCTAGAATTATTCATAAGAAACCAATAGCAACAATATCCTATAGGAAGAAGCTAGAAAAGGGGGTGGAAGAGATTTTCTCAACACTTGTTCTTTTGTATCTTTCAAGCTTTGTATTATTTGCATATATTAATTATTCAAGGGGTCCTGGCATGGCACTATAAGAGAAGCACTGAACTGGTAATTACAAGGTCAAAGGTTCAAACCCACCAGCCCCTCTTTGGAAACCCTGTACAGGATCACTATGAGTCAGAATCAACTTGACATCACTAACAACAACAAATTATTCAAAACTATTCCAAAAAAAAAAAAAAAAGACCCTTCACAATTATATAAATATGATAATAGGGCAAGGATTTTTAATATTTGATTACATAAGTACTGATTTTGGATTTTAAATTATAAATGAGATGAGGAAATGTCATTTATTCATTTTTGTTTCTTCATAGACTATGGCCAGAACAGCTAAACCCTGATTTACATGTCCTGAGTAAAGGGTGCCAGATTTTAGAATCTTGTGCTGTTGATAAAAACAAATACAACACAAAAACTGTGATTATACCACTAAGTTCACAATAACTTTGAATATATCAAGGCTTTAGTTGAGACATTAAGGGGCACATATGCTCTTCATCCATATCACTCGTTTTCTTTTATACCTGGATCTATGCTGCACACCTAAGATAATATGAGTATTAAAAAAATATGATTGCCAATTCTATTAGCAGAGACCGTTTTAGCAACCACCTACAGGTCTGCCCTACCCTGGACCCTAGATAATCAGTGGTTTTCTGAAATAAGGGGTAAAGCGAATAAGACTAATCCCCTAAATCACTGTTCAGTCCAATCACATTCCACAGGCTTGGTAAATAGGATACGGCTGTTCCTTAAGTCACCCACTAAGCCTGCATTTCCAATTATTCTTGCTTTATTCTACCTTGACTGTTGGGATTGAAATTTCCCAGAACAAACTTTCATCTTACCTGTTTCTCATAAACTAGATTACTATAATCCATGTTCCAAGTCCATATTTTATTTCACTAACTTTTTAGAGGCTCAACTGCTGATATTTGGATATTCCTGCCGTATCTACCATAGCACCTCCCTCACACTTACAGCTGCCAGTCTGGATCCCCTATGAACACTTATCCTCAATTTCCAGGATGTTCTATATAATTGTCCAGATAGATTTTAGTTACTTTACATAGAATCCTACCTGAATGCATCACACATTCCACCATAGACTATATGAGGGGATTCAGAAAGTTCATGGAAATCTTTTCATTATCTTTGAATTCCATTTTTCCATGAACTTTTTTTAAGCTCCATATACATCTAGTATCTTTCTGACCCCAGTTGTGACAGACGCTTAAGAACCATTCACTTTATCTGGGAATGTCCTTATTTTGACTCAAAGTCACAAACCGTCTCCAATCAGAGATATCATTACTCTCAAGGCTCAGGGGACCGACCATATGTGGGTATCATTTTAGATATTGAGAATCTAGCTTTGCAAAAAAAAAAAATTTGTATTTTATAAATTAAAACAGAACCTTTCTTTGGGGGATAAAAGCAATAGTTATAAAATAAGAACACTAGAAACATAAAGTAAATTTAGATTCTTATCCTTGTTAGCTCCCAATGCATAACAACTCCAAGTGTTGTTGTTGTTAAGTACCATCAAGTCAATCCTGACTCTGCATCCTTGTATAGGGTTTCTGAGGAGCAGCTGGTAGGTTTGAACCACCAATTTTGTGGTTTTAAGTTCAGTGCTTATTTTACAATGCCACGCCAGGAGTCCAACTCCATGTGTTAGTACGGATAATAAATAAAATTATGATTTGTTTTTAACTTGCCTTCTTCACTGTCTCACCTTCACATGGCACTAATTACAAAGTAGAGTGATTACAAAAATACTCATTTTCTCAGCTATTGATTGGTCTCTCTCTGTCAGGAGCATAGCAGAGTGAAGAAAATCAAAGATTTTAGAAAACAACTCGTCCAAAGGACTAACAGGCTACAAAAACCTCAGCATCCCCTACCCTGAGACCAGAAGAACGAAATGGTGCCTGGCTATCACTACCAATCATGTTGGGGATCATAATAGAAGGTCCTGGATAGAATGGAGAAAATTTCAGAACAAAAGTCAAAATCATGAAAATGGCTAGATTTACCGGTCCGAGACTGGTAGAATAATTGAGACCATGACCCTTCAAGTCCAGAGCTGAAGCCACCCCTAGGGATCACTTTTCTGTCAAGCAATAGGCAGACTTACAAAGTAAACAATATAATACATGAGGAACACATTTCTTGGAACAATCAATCATACAGGACCAAAAGACAGCGTTTGTCTGAGAAAAAAAGCCCAGAAGGCAGGAAGGGGCAAGAAAGAAGGACAAATGAAAATGGTGAACCCTGGGAGGAAGTGGGAAGAGTGCTATCATATTGAAGGCATTGTAACTAATGCCAAAACAAAATGTGTTGAATAGAAAACAAATTGGCTCTATAAGCTTTTACCCAAACCACAGTTTATATATATAGGTTTTCCAAAGTGCAACTGGAGTCCTGGTGTGGTACTGTGGGTTAATGCACCAGTTAATGCATTTGAACTGCAAGGTCGATGGTTCAAGCTCACCAGCTGCTCCTTGGAAACGCTATACAGGGTTGCTATGAGTCGGGACTGATTCGATGGCACATAACAACAACAAAGCACAGCTGGTGGGTTTGAACTGCCAACCTTATGGTCCACAGCCCAGAGCTTATCCTACAGTGTCACACCAAGAATGAATATATATTCATTTTCTGAAAAACTTGCACTTATGTAATTTTTAAAGTTTATTTGGTGGCCTTGAGTTTTCATTTTATGAACTGAAAAAAAGAAAGAAAGAAAGAAAAATTTAAAGATATTAACTGAACATAACAAAACATTTAGGCCTCTTATTCCCCAAAGTTGTCTTTTACCCATTACTCAGAAAAACAATTTTTGAAAGCAGTAAAGCAAGTTGTGTTTTTATTCTAAATAATTTATTCAGAAAAATCATTATTCGTTTTTCCACAGAGGTCTATTTTCCTAACAGCTTTGTTATTAGATGGCTTGAGTTATTTAGCTCTCATATCTTGTCCCATTTTTCTTCTTTTAAGTCCCAAAGGCAAAAACAAGTAGAGCTCTAGCTGTGTCTCCTCACACAAGATTTTAGCCCCCTCTTATCTGGGTGGAAAAGCATCACTGTGTTCGCACCTTTACAGTTCCATCTGTGCTGCCAGTCAAAAGCCGTGTCTCATTTGCATCTAGGGCCATGGTGCTGATTTCTGCATTGCCATGGCAACCAGTAAATTGTTTGATTTTCTGCCCAGTGTCTATCATCCAGAAGGAAACAGTAGACCCAGTATCAGAGCTAATTACCTAAAAGAAAATGGCATGGTACAGAAATTAAATATGTTTCCAGAATCAGTCACTTTTATTGCAATAAAAACATAAAGCCTATACATTCCCACTGTTGAGATCCCCCAACACTTAGAGACATTTTAGTACTGCATTTTCTTTTCTGTTAAGCTGATAACATTTCAATTTCTAGGCCTGAACTGAAGTAATGAAATCATGATCCTGTTTATCAGAGAAGATAGAAGAAATCAGCTTCCCCTTACCCAACCTTTAGCTAGGTTTCTATAGGTCATCCTTAAAATGAATCTTACTGAAAATAAACTGATAAATCATTTTCATTTAGATAGGCAAGTTGATTTTACTAGGAATGGTGTTCTGATACTATGTGTTATATGAAAAGAAACATTTTCTGTATATATCAGCTTCCTTTATACCATTCAGGAAAGAAGCAATACCAGCTATTATGAGGAAAAGTTCATTTCAACCAATTGTTAGAGCTATTGTTTTTTAATACCATTAGTCCCTTGCTTTCTCTTTTGTCAAGGTACTGTGTCTACTTTTACAGCTAAGCGTAATTATTTATGGGACACTAAAAACAAAGAACACAGGAAGTTTAAATATAAATCTTCAAAGATACTTCAAGAGGAAGGCAACAAATCTCATGCTAGAAGGAATCAGATTATATATCACAGTCTAACAATAAGAAAATTTACAGTAAAAAGTGAACTGCTAATTTATGCTTTTATTTTTTTGTTTGTCTGCAGCTTTTAAGAGATTTATAGGTTAAAACCACCTAGCTAATGTGATTTATGGACCCAAAAGAATGAAAAGAAAATATAAAAATTAAATACATGCATGTGTAAATAGGAATACACATGTATTCGATCTGGATTCTGATAAAAAGCATTTCTTAGGAGCCCTGGTGACAGAGTGGTAAAAGTGATTGACTCTGAACCAGAGGTCAGCAGTTCAAACCCACCAGCCACTCTATAGGAGAAAGACTTGGCAGTTGGCTTCCATAAAGATTTACAGTCTAAGAAATCCTATGGGGCAGTTCTACTCTGCTCTACAGAGTCACTGTGAGTTGGGATAGACTCCAAGGCAATGGATATTTCTTTGTTTAAATACTAAATTCCATTGAATAAATGCACATTTACTAAGAATATTTTAAATCTTAATATCACATTTTCTTTATCAAATCGACTTTAGTTTATTAAAATGAAAAGATGTGGCTAGGTGGCTATCATATCATGCTGTTTGTTCATCGTAAGGTTACTTCCTGAACATCACTCTGCCTAACTCCATGATAGCAGTAGAGCTTAATGGATGAATACTGCTCTCAAGAAGTCTATAGTGTTAGACTGTACATTAAAATCACCTGTACATTAAAATCACCTGTAAAGCTTTAACATTTTTGCTGTCTATAAGATTTAATTAGGCCAATTATATTATTTTTTCATGAGCTTCATTTGAATATGCCAACTGGATTGCTAATGAATGGTTTAGATTGAATAGCAGAGAAATGCTCAGCAATGCTTAATTTTAGAGATAACTCTTCCGGGTGTTGTGGGAGATGAAAACCTGAAATCAACTAGCTGAGGTAGGGGGTGGGTGGTAATTGATCTAGGTTTGAAGATGTTGGTATTAGGTGCTCACGAGTGGATTCCAACTCTAGAGACCCTGTAAAGGGTTTCTGAGGCTATAAATCTTTCTCCCAATGAGAGTCTGGTTATGGTGGTGTTACGTGTTGTGGAGTCACTTCCTACTTATAGCAACCCTGTATAGGGTTTCTGAGGCTGTAAATCTTGACAGGAGCAGAAAGCCTCATATTTCTCCTACAGAACAGCTGGTCGTTTTGAACTGCTGACCTTGAGGTTAGTAGCCTGACTTGTAACCACTATACTATCAGAGCTCGGTTTAACTGTTGACTTTGTGGTTAGCAATCCAGTGATTATCCTATATCACCACCAGTGCTCCTGGGATTGAAAATAAGCGCATGTATTTACTGAGTGCCCTGGCCTTAATATCCGTCATTTCATTTGATCTTTATAAAAACTCAGCAAAAGAAGTATGTCAGCATTCTCATTTTACTGGAATGACATAGAAATTCTAAGCATCTAAGCAATATTCTAAAACTAATATAGGTAAGTTTCAATCCTGGGCTGTGACAACCACATCATAAAGTCTTCCTCTATTCCAGCATAAAACTTCAGATGATTAAAACATTGCTTAAACAAAAAGGAAGTCCTGGTGTGGCACTGTAGGATAAGCACCAAACTGCTAACCATAAAGTTAGCAGTTCAAACTCACCAGCCACTTGGAATTTGAACGACCATACAGGGTTGCTATGAGTAGAAACTGACTCAACAGCACGCAAGAAGAAGAAGAAAAAAGGACTTGGACAATATGCCAAGCACGAAAAATAATTAAGAAATTTAATGGAACCATAATGCAGAGTACTTGTACAATCAACACTGCACTAGTTTCAGCAAGGTTGGTGGCTCAAAGCTGCTCCTTGGTAACCCTATCCAGGGACTCTATGAGTCAGAATCAGCACTTAACAACCACATATTTATTCTGCACATTTTCTCTCAGTGCAATAGAGTAACTTAAATATTCAATTACCATTGTTAAAATTGTTTAAAAAATTATTTTCAAAGACTTAGATCTTTGAGATAACATGACCTAAAATGTTAGTTATCCTTCATGTCCCAGACTCGTGTTTCTGTTTTATTTTCTTTATGCAATATACAAGAGTTAAGAGCACTGGGTCTGAAACTAGGATGTCTGTGCTTGAATGTCCACTACCCAACTAACTTTATCTGACCTTGGGTCCATTACTGAAGTTCTATAAACATCAGTTTCTTTATCTGCAAATCAGACAGAATTGTAATAACTACTCCAAACTGTTATTATGATGTTTAAGTAAGTTGTTTGTCAAGCACTTAACACAATGAAAGCCTAGAAACAAAATAAGCCATAAGAGTTAACTCATACTATTACTCTAAGCTTTAGTTTGCTGACCTCACTATCTGGATATATTTTGCATATCCAGAGCAATTAAAGAAAAACATTTAATATCTTCCTTTCTTCCAACCATGACAGTAAATCTAAGCAACTACAATCTTAGAAACCAAATTTTTGGAAGTATACTAAAATTTCAAATTACATCATACTTGTGAATTTCTTATATAATTGCTTAGGAATATGGATTACACCCTTAAAGACAAAGCCATAAACATAAGTTTCTAAACATGGGGGAAACTTTTGAGTGCTCCTTCATGAAAGAGTTAAAAGGTACAAAGCATTATATGATTTCAAATCAAAAAGCATTTATTAAACACCTGTACACTCTGGTAGCATAGTGGTTACAAATCAGGCTGCAAACCTCATGGTCAGCAGTTCGAAATTACCAGCTGTTAAGCAGGAGAAAGAGGAGGCTTTCTGCTCCCGTAAAGATTTACATCCTTGGAAACCCTGTTCAGGGTCCTACAAGTCAGAACCGACTCCACAGCACATCACAACAACAGCAACATACTATATACCAGAGTTGTAGCGTGGTGCTGTAGGATAAGCTCTGTACCATAAGGTCGGTTTTAACTAGAGGTCAACTGTTCAAAGTTACCAGCTGCTTCTCAGTAACCCTATACAAGGTCGCTATGAGTCAAACCAACTCAATGGCACTTTATAACAACATACTATATGTTAGGCATTTTCAGTGCTAAAATATGGACATTCCCTTTTAAAAACATTCCCTTTTAAAAACAGTGCTAAAATATGGACTTTCCCTTTTAAAAATATGGACATTCCCTTTTAAAAATAAATCAAGGTCATGTTCAAAAATGAGACTTGCTTATTTGTTCCTAGACTGACCTCACCCACATTACAAAGCATTCAAGCAGCTGTTCTACCATTTTATCTAAAATAGACATTCAATCAAGAATTAATAGCATTATCTTTTTGTTACTTTGCACTCCTCCTCCTCTGCCCACCCAACTGAGTCTCAAAATACCTATTCATCAGTTTCCATCACCTTTCTCTGCTTATTAAACAATTTCTTGATCAGTTATGAAAGCTTTATCAGTAGTGGCAACAACCTGCAGTTTTTCATTTATTGGCAATATACCTTAAGGTATAGTCTTCAAGAAAAAAAAAAAAAATGTGTTCCAAAACAAGGGCTGATTAATCTACAAACATGAAACCAACATAAACACAGTCTACTCTCACTATGACAAAATTGTAAGGTAAAAGTAATATGCAAGTGAAAAGACTTTTCAAAGATTAGGTTTTCCATCACTTGGAAGATGAAGGAAGTGACTTGACTACAGGACTGTTTATTTTTAGCAAGCTGTTTTTATCAATAATAAAACCCAGGAATACGTATTGGTTTCACATCTATATAGCATATTTTGATAATACCAAATTCTTTTTAAGTTTTCAGTTCCTTTTTGGCTGTCTCTTAGCAAGCTATACCTCAGCCAATGAAGACAGGGCCATGACAATCTGCAGAGTAGAAACGGTACTGTCCTAATAACTGCAGTGCCGTGCAAATGGGTCTCATAGCAGATTGTTGTTCTGACAGGAGCACACTCCATCTTATGTACCTGAGTTAATGACTGTTTAGGAATATACAGGTCTTTTTTGTCTCTCTCATCTGATGCTGTCAGAGTCAATAAGACAATTCTAAGAGATGGGAAGCTGTACCCGTGTCACCTAATTGTCTTCTTGCAACTCCAATGATGGTAGGCATTTTAGTTGTCGTTTGCATGCATCTCTAAAACTAGATCTCAGCAAGAACAGGAAGCAAAAATAACAGCAGAAGATGCCACTGGCTATCAGTGGATCAGGATATTTGATGTAATTGCTTTTAATAATATTATTGAGTTTTATGTTGGCTAGTGTTGTTTGGATCCCATAATATATATAGGCTACTTCTTTTATTTCCGTTTTGTATAAAATCTCTACAAGTTACAGCTTAATAAGTAGAGAGGCAGCAGAATAATAAGATCTCAGTACTTGTA